GACATCACTGGGGAATAGCAGCAAAGGATAGCTACGATTTTATATTTTTGCCAGGATAATGAATATCACTTATTTGGAAAATTTTTGTTTACTTCTTTGACAAACAGTTAGAGCTAGTTCGATTAAAGCAGTGAGATATGCCTATAGTTAATTATAAAATCAAGACTAGCATGATAGAAATGACAAGGGCAAGAGACCTATTGTGGGATCTAGACACAGCAGCGGGGTAAGGATTTTTACCATCAGCAACAAAGACGTTATAAGAAGAGAGCACAACATGATTCGATAGTGACGCAGCAGCACAGGATTCGGGATACATGATACAATTGTAACAAGATCAAATATAGAGCGAAAGATTATCGCAGTACACCAGCAGGAGACCAGTATGACAGAGGTCAAGGTCAATAGTTTCAGGATCGTGGTTACGACCAGCATCAGAGGATAGATGTACTACCAATTATTCTAAGGATTTAGGGGCCTATAGGTCAAAATTGCGCTATTCAGAGTATTCATCAGTGTCAGATGGACCCATGTGATTTACAACCAGGAGCGCAGCAGGCGCCGACCACCAGTAGAGTGTATGTAGTCATACCGCGTGAGCATAGTGCGAGCGGAGTTTTCGTAGTAAATTCTTATCCAGCTCGAATCTTGTTTGATTCAGAAACTTCGTATTCTTTCATATTTTATGCCTTCATGTATAGGCTTCAGTTAGTTACACATCCCTTAGATGTTCTGTTATTAGTTTCTACTCCTTTAGGGGAGGCGTCCCTATTAGAGAGTATATGTAGGAGATGTGTCATCAGTATAGATGAGTTTGAGCTCATCTTTGACCTGGTCATTTTTGTGGATGTCGAATTTCAACGTCATTTTTGGTATAAAATAGTTATCATCCTACAATATCAGTATCGATTGTTTTGCTAAAACAGTATGCTTGTGAGCATTTGTTGGGATTGTATAGATAGTAGAAACCTCATAGCGTAACCAGAATGCGGAGTCATTTCTGGCATATGTCGAGGATGTGATGATACGGGATCGGGGTGTAGTTTTGAGCGAGACTGGAGTCGTCTCAGAGTATCAGGATGTCGTTCAGGACATACCTATGTTTTCTCTAGTGAGAGAGGTTGTTTCCTTGCATCGAGTTGCAGCAGGCACTGTACCGATAAGCCCCACCGTCGTCTTCTCCTTCAAGATATTATGGGCTACTGATTTGGCGAGCGACAACCGAATTTGCCCTAGAGCCTTCCTATCCAGTATCTCCCAATCATCATCTGACTCCTCATTCTTTTGTCCCTTATCCTTACCCATCAACGGGCGATACAAGTCCTTCTGGTACAGATAGTCCTCCATCTGTGACTTTCAGTAGGCGAAATCTGAGCCGTCAAACTTCTCGATCTTAGATTTGATTTCCTCTGTCATGGCTTTCATACAAATTGCTGAACGAAGCTCTGATACCAGTTGTTGGGTATTCAAAATAATTAAATCGAACCCTTGCCCTTCCGGACCTTGTGTTGAAAGTAGGAAAGTAGGAAAATTCACCACAAATAAAGATAAAAACTTGCAGGAATAATAAAGGAGACGAACACACAGATTTAACGAGGTTCGGCAATGTGCCTACGTCCTTGGGAGCCACACCACACAATTCTTTTATTGATTGAAGAAGAAATACAAGCTCTCAAACTAGGGTTTTATCTATCTGAGATCTCTCTGTCAAAAGCTCTCTCTTTTGATGTTTTTCTGATGCTTTTAATAAACCCGAAAAACGTTTGGGTATTTATATCAAACCCAGCCCAAACAGATTTCCTGAACTCATAAGGAATCTGGCAAACAATGTCGCGGTCGACCGAACCAAAACCCGAGAGCAGAAAACATTACAGGGTTGGCGCGATCGACCGCCTTCAGCTCCAGCCTCTCCCTGACTCCTGTGCACGTTCACGGTCGACCGTCGCTGACTCGCGGTCGACCGCCAGGCTGACTTGCAGTTCTCCTAGACTTTTTAGAGTGTGTTCTTCGTGATTCCAGCTTCGGCTTCAACTTTGGGTCTACACTTTAGACTAACACTCTCTGCTAGAGCTCTCCCCTTCATTCGCACCTTCCATAATAGAATCATCAATTTGCTCTGCACCCTCTCCAGTTGCTCTATCAGTGCCCACTAACACACATATATTAGTACTCAATAGCTTTGTTTTGATATGCCTTGGCATCTGAATTTACCTATGCAAGCATGAGAACATACAAAAACATAGTGAGACAATTTAGTAACACAACACCATATATTTAGGAGTAGACATGAGGGAGAGAGAGTGAGTGAGAGAGAGAGAGAGAGAGAGAGAGAGAGAGAGAGAGAGAGAGAGAGCATATAATAAGCTGAGTACATATATTTCGGAGTAGACATGAGAGAGAGAGAGAGAGAGAGAGAGAGAGAGAGAGAGAGCATATTAATACAACTTATATGTTTCTAAATAGAAATGTCTGCAAGTAAAGGAAAATACCAGCTACAAGGGTCGCATCACTTTCCTATATATTGGTCATGTGATATGACTTCATACAAAGTTTGCATCCAACTGTAAGGACTGCTCTTATGATTCTCACAGAAAAAGGCAATTTGCATAACCTTGCTGTTTGTTGGAAAATTTACAATAAGAAAATAAAATAATTGAATTTGATTTATTTCTTCTAACTGTTTAGAAAAAGAATGTTTACAATTCTCTCAATCTCTAACTGATTACAATTTGAATTTCTGATTATAAAAGAGAAGAAGTTCGGCGGAGATCTTCCCATTTGTTTAACATGGCTTCTTCTTGGTGTCGATGAGATACCTCCCTCGAAACTCGCGTCGAGTTTGCTTCTCGTTGACGGTCTGAACACCTCGCTTCACTGGAACGATATCTTCTCCTCACGATTTGACGCTGTGGAGAACTTGCAAAACAAGTTTGAAATTAATTCTTAACGAGTTTAGGAACTCAGAGCGAGTTTAAACTCTTGTAAAAGAGTTGATTTGAACTGAAAGTCGGTTTTAGCCAAGAACGATCTCCTCGTTGCTGAAGTTGAAGATGATCTCCGTTGAGGAATAATGCCAATCCTTTCAGGTCGTTTCTGATCCAAAAATTCCAATAACTAACTCGGTTGAATTTCCTCTTATTTATAAGGGATTAAGGGGGTATAACCGCTCCTTAAATCACTCCTAAGTGGGGTGCAACCAACCTCAAATTGTGGGAAACGGTTTCAGAACCGTTCAACTCATGTTCAACCCGGGTGTGGCAGACTCGTTTTTAGATTCTCACCCTGTTTTGGATTGGGTTTGTTATAAATAGAAGCAAACGTTTCTAGGGTTATTAGAGAGAGTTTGAACAGAGAATTTGGGTTTTTTTTTAGCACTTTGAGAAGGAGATTATTGTGAGGGAGTGAGAGATTATTGTTTGGGTTATTTTGAGAGTTGTTTGAGAGATTGTAACCCGTTGTTTCTCCTCCATATAGTAAAATCTCCTCATCCTCTCCCCGTGGACGTAGGCAATTGCCGAACCGTGTAAATCTTTTATGTTTGTGTTGGATAGATGTTCTCTCAAAATTAAAAATGCTAATAATAATAATAAAGAGAAGATGTAAGCAATAATACTGAAGTTGTTTGAGGTCATGGATACTCCCTCGTCCATGTACCTCAACTGGATTAAATACTCCCACGTGACCTACGCGACCAAGGACATATACAAGGTAGATAGATTTAAATCATATAAAATTTTTCATGAAGATACTCCCAAGTACAAATGCTAAATCATTCAAAGTTTTTGGTAGGTAAAATTACCAGATTGATATATTTTATTGATTTTTAGTGACACATTGGTATATTTTCTTATTCTAGCAATAATTTGATATATTATGTAGACTACGATGATTAATTAGTCTATATTTTGGCCAGAGGGAAAATTCCGACCAAAATGAGTCACATGTTACCTCATCACACGCACCTGATGTGGATTGAGTGGGCTTACGTGACCGGATAGGTGAAAGAAAAAAACCCAGCATACCCCACCCCCACCCCCAAAAAAAACTCTATTTCCCCTCTTTTTCTCTATTCATGTGACGGAGGGGACGTATCTTCCAAAGATTGCAGAAATTCCCCTTGTACATAGTATTATTAAATGGGTTCAAAATCTTGATTTGACTATAATGTGGTTGATTTGTGTAAATTAGGGCTTTTTATCCCATTGAGCCATTAATTTGCCTCTTCCATGCTCATACTTAAGCCCAACCTTGAGCAAGAGTTTGAGAATAAAGAATCTAACTTCAATTATAGTTGTCTTAGCCAATTTAATGCTAGGAGGAAGAAGAACCAAAATTTTTCAATTTGAACATTAAATTTTAGACCTAATGTCAGGAAAAAAACCTCTTTTAACAATTTAATTGATCCCAATTAACACCATGGTGGCAGCCGCCAAAATATAGGCCCATTTGTCACTATAGTCCATATATAATCTAAAATGTATATTGCTTGGTCAAATTCCGTCTCACTAAATGCGTCACGATTACATACTTAAGAGAGTTAATTCCTTCCTAATCCTAATCTGCATGCTAAGTGCTGAACATAAAAATTTATAGAAGATCAGATGATCGTCCACAGTTAAAAGGGTTTTTCGGACATTTAATCTAAAATGAACAACCTAGCCAACAAGGCAATATATATTGCTTGGTCAAATTCCGTCTCACTAAATGCGTCACGATTACATACTTAAGAGAGTTAATTCCTTCCTAATCCTAATCTGCATGCTAAGTGCTGAACATAAAAATTTCTGCAAATTAACAAGTGAGTTTAAAAAAATGTACACATGACTTTATAATACAATTGTTGCTCCTTATTTTCTTTTCTTCTTAATGAAACAAGTTTAGATTGTGATATATTCTTTTCCTAAATACCCAATAATTTGAAAGTACTTAGAGAGAAAGACGCGCGTATTTCTCTGTATAAGATTTAAAATGCAAATCAATATCAGGAAAAAAACAAGGAAAAAGAAAAAAAAAGATTGGCATACTGCTTAAGGAAATTAACGACATTTCTTGACTTCCCATCCTCTTTCCAAACAGAAGAAAAGTGGAAAAAAGGGAAAACTACATACGTCAACATTATCTGTATTCAACAATCAAACACTAAAACAAACCATTGCAGAAATGAAACATAATAATTTTAGGAAGATAATCATCCAATATTCCATGATTTCCTCTTCTTCAACTTAACGAACAATCCATTCTTGGGCAGAACGACGACCGAAGCCTTAGGCTCGGCGACATGACCTTCGATCACTCTCACTTCAAAGTTGTATATCATCGCAGAAGCCATCAGTTTCATCTGAATCATGCCCATGTTCCTCCCCAAACAAGATCTCGGCCCCGAGTGAAATGCGATGAACTTGTACGATGGCTCGTGCTTCAGTGTTCCCTTCTCCGTAATCCATCTTTCAGGCTTGAACTCTAAGCAATCCTCCCCCCAAATTGTCTCCATTCTACCCATCGAATACAGCGAGAAGAAAATCTTCGTGCCAGGTCTAACTCTGTGGCCACTGGGCAACATGTCGCCCTTCTTTGCTGCCTTATGATTGAAGGGCAACGACGGATAAAGCCTTAGGGTTTCGAACAAAACCGCATGCAAATAGATCAATCCATCGATCTCTTCAGTTCTGAACACAAATATTTCATCGTTGGCTTCAGAAGAGAGTCTGAGCTTCCTAAGTTCTTCCAAGATCTTTTTCTCGACGTCAGGGTTGTTGTTGAGTAGCCAGAACATCCATATGAGTGCAGCTGCCGTGGTGTCCTTGCCTGCAGCCAGGTAAGTGAGCAGTGTGTCTCGCAGAAATTTATCGTCGATGGAGTACTCCATGTATGACGTTATTATATCGATATGCCCTTCTTCTTCCTCTTTCTCCTCTTTGTTGCTAATAATTCGACCATTATTGATTTTTTGACTCTCCTTCTTTTCTTGAATACATTTTTCAATGAATTGATTGATAACTTCCGTTGCTTCAGCTATCTTTTTCTCTTTCCCCACTTTCAGTCGCCTCATCAGCTTCCAGAAGAACATTGGCACTATATGCCGGAATATCAGAGCCTGCTCGACTTGGTGCACAGCTGTCACAAACGGAATGCTAGGGAAATCAGGAGCAAGACAGCCAGGATCCACACCTAGAACCAAAGTGCAAATGGCGTCGAATGTGAATCTCATGAGCACATCGCTCAGATCAACCACCTTATGGGATTCTTCCATATCCTTCAACAGGGGGAGGAGCACCTTTGTCAGCTTGTTTATGGTGAAGTCGCCTACAGAGGAGCGGAATGTGGGAGTGTTCATGTGTGCCTGAGCCATTCTTCTCTGGTCCACCCACGAGTCACCATCAGCGACGATGATCCCATCCCCGAGAACATCGAATATTTCTGCGAATTCCTCGCCCTTCCCATAGTTGGAGAAACGGAGATTGAACATGTGATTAGCGTTGTCAGGACTGCAGGTCAGCAGAAAGTCCATCCCACAGAACCAAGGTCCTCTGAACATGATGGTGTTATCGAACTCTCGGAGTATAGAGGTAATGTGATCGAGGAGGTGGTGGTAGTTGACGATGATCGTTGGGAGCATACCAACAACCGGCCAGTTCACAACGACCATACCGCCTCTTCGTGTCCTGCAGAAGAGGAGGTAGACGAGGAGAGTGGCGAGTAATGATAAGAGAACCTCGGGGAACAAACTCATGTTCATTTCTTCTTGGTTGAGAGAGAAAATAATTTGGATGTGTAAAGAACTTGTTGAGAACTTGTCCATTTATAGTGTTCTCTGTGGATTATAAATTGCCTCTTAGGGGGGTTGGTGTAATTTTGAGGTAAGTGGGATAAATTTTGAGACTTTACTTTATAGTGTTATTCATTGGGACAATGGGATTAGGATTTCACTTTATGGTGTTATTCATTGGGACAATGAGATTGGGACAATTACCCCCATTTTTTCCAAAATTATCCCACTTCTATACAAACTTTTTGTCTCAACCTCCAAAAATTATCTCAACCTCCAAAAATTATCCCAATCTTAACTTTGGGACAATCATGAAGAAAATGGGATAATTTTGAAGCACTAATTTATTAAATATCTAATATATGTTAATTATATTATAATATATAATACATCTTAATTATATTATATTATAAAATTTTATTATAACGTAAGATAATAAAATATTACATAATATTATCTAATATAATATTATTATATATCATTATTACACATTGATTAACAATATTTCATATATTATAATATTAATATTATATTATTATAATATTACTTTATATTATTTAGTATATATTTTATTAGTTAGAATAAAAATATTATTGTAGTATTTTTTAAGATATAAGGTTATTATAAATATTATATTTTAATAAGGAGCCATGTCATCAATTATTCTATTTAAATTACAGTAATTATCATAAAATAAAATAAAATAGTACATTTTTAATAATAATTTAATATTTTAAATTATATTATATTGAATTAAAAATATTATAATATTTGATTAAATATTATATTATTGAAATATTATATTAAATATATTGTTTGTATATTATATCAATTATTATATAATATATCATATTATTATAATATATTATATTATGTTAATTAATAACATTAAATATAGTTATAATTAATTAGTAATTATAATATAATATATTATAGTTTAGTATAAAGTAAAATAATGTGTTACATTGTAATAGCATACCAAATAATATGCTAAACCAATTAGCTAGGTAAATTAATTTAGACTTAATTGATAGATAAATATTATACTTTAATAAGGTGTCACAATATTAATTATCCCACATGAATTGTCAAATCAAAGCTTTAAATTATCTTATTATCCTAAATTGTCCCACTTTACACCACTCAAAATATCCTAAATGGATAAAATTGTTCCATTGGAACAATTATCCCACTTAGGGGGGTTAGTCACCTAGAACTTAAATCTGGAATTGGAATAATATGTGGGATAAATTTTTAAGGTGTTAGTCACATAAAACTAAGAAATATGATATTTTTTGTAGTGTTAGTCAAGTAGAACTTTTGTAGAACTAGAACCGTGTTATTGTTTTTAGACGTTAGTCAAGTAAAATTCTACTAGAATTAGAATTGGGATACTTTGTCATAATTATCCCACTAATTATGCCACCTCTCTCAAATTATCCTACAGTTAGAATCACAATTGGGTAAAAAGTGAAAAACCTAGAACGCGCATCCGCCTCCCTCCCTCGTGGTTAATTTCTCCGTCTAAAATTTCTCCTCCTCTCTTCTCTCCGATCCTCTTCCCATTGAAGAACAGCGTTTCCAGTGCATGCGTCGTCTCCGCTGCATCATCTTCTCTGACTTCATCAACCCCTTCGGTGCCATCCACGAACTCGGGTAATTGAGTAATATTACGGATATATGATTTTGACAAGATTTTTATGAGTGGTATTTTGTTCAGTTACAAGGTTTTTATGGAGGTTTTAGTGATGATTTAGATTCTTTTTGTTTGGAACAAATTGTTAACAAGGATATGCGGTTTAGTTGGTAATTAGTAGTTTGCTTTTCAAGATTACCTGTTACATATTGTGATATGGATTCGCTCTGCAATGAAATTAGCATAATTTATTATGTTGAGTGGCCGGAGAAAGAGGGAATGAATTGTGAATTTTTAGTACCTGACAACACAAAAGNAGCATAAGTATCAATCTATTTGTTATTAACTCATGACACCATCATTCATTTTCATCTCTCTTGTAAGTACCCCCAGAGATTTATCCATGTCCTCTTCTTGAGGGTGAACATTCTAATAAGAAAGTTGTCTGCCAAAAATCTTACACACATGAGTACATAGCAACTAAGTCCTGTATCAGCTACAAGCAGTCCGCAAGTGTCTCTTCTGAAATGCTTATTATTGATCAACTTGCCAGTTTGAAGAGTTCATCACTCATTCAAATAGATGACCATCCATAGCAAAAGCATTATTGATCAACTTGCCAGTTTGAAGAGTTCATCACTCATTCAAATAGATGACCATCCATAGCAAAAGGAGCTAGGTCACTAGAAATCACAAGTCTCGTCAAATAGATGACCATCCATAGCAAAAGGAGCTAGGTCACTAGAAATCACAAGTCTCGGCTACAAATTCTAATGCAATGAGAACATAACAACAATAATATAAAGATCGAGACCAATTGCAGTGATCAGATGAGCTCAAGATGAAATGACCAACAACAAGACAAATAAACTAGAATGAAATATATTTGATAAAAACAAATTTTAAACTCACTCTTGACTGCAATAGAAGTTAGTTAAATTGAACGGTATTGGTTTACAGATCATGACCTTTTATAGTAGAGAAATAAAAGCTGGGCCATGTAATGCCCTCAAGAAAGCATCAATATTTATTCAGATTCAAACAGTACTTGCTCAAAGTTCACCATCCCAGAGTTCCTCAATACTCTTGTAAAAGCTTTGAGGGTCAACAAATAAATCGCCTTTAAACAATCTTTCATGCATTTATCACAAGGTTAGAAAATTTTAAGGAAACTTGAATCTCATCTTGCTCTAGATTTAACCAGTCCTCATACTTGGCTAAGGACATGAAGATGGAAAACTTGCCCATGCTTCTCTAACATTAATAAAACTTTCTTAGCAAATAACTTGACTAACTTCTGGTAACAACCTTGTTCAGCTTCAACTTCTTCTTCCTTGCCGAGTTGCTGATTGCGGTCACGTAACTTGCCCAACTATCTGGTAACTGCGATAGTATCAATAGGTCCTACACTTTATCATCAAACATGATGTCAACTGAGATTAGTTGATTAACAATCATGTTGAACTCGCTGAGATGCATCGTGAAGGAACATCATTCTGCCATCTTGAGGTTGAAGAGTATTTTGACGAGATGCACCTTGTTTGCAGCTGACAGTTGCTCGTACATCTTGTGAGCACTTCCATAAGCCTCACCGTCATCTTCTCCTTTAATATATTATATGTGACTGATTTTACGAGTGACAACCAGATCTATCATAGAGCCCTCAATCCTCGTCTGACTCATCCATCTTCATTCCTTTTGCTTTACCCATCAACGGATGATAAAGATCCTTTTGGTACAGATAGTCCTCTATCTGCGACTTCCAGTAAGCAAAGTCTGATCCGTCAAACTTCAAAATCTTTGATTTGCCTTCTTCTGACATAGCTCTCATATAGATCTAATCTGAACGAATCTCTGATACTAGTTGTTGGGGATTCGTCCTATCGACAACCTGTCAATAAACCCTATCGCGGAACGCGCCCTTCGGATCTTGTGTCGAAAGAAGGCAAGAAGAAATCACAGCAAATAAAAAAAACTTTGCAAAGAAAAAATAGAAGAGAGAACACCAAAATTTTAATGAGGTTCGGTGATAATCACATTTTATTACAATTTTATATCCTCATTATCTAGTTTATATGAATAAATTTATCACTAATAATTATTTTTATCTTTAATTACAGGTTAATCAAAAATAAAAGCCCAATATCTCTTCTCTCAATAAAGCCCACAAATTAAATGAAGAACTCAAGCATGAAAGCCCAAAAGAAGAAGACATACCAAAGAAGCCCAAGCCCAAAGAATAAAAGAAGAAGAAGCTGCGAAATGCAATTGTAGCACACTGGGCATCGATGCCCGCATCGATGCCGGCATCGTCATTCTGTTACAAATCTAAGGCTAAAATTCATGGTTTTTGGATAAGATTTTGATCCAAGGGCTCTCATTCATTGATGTTTACTATAAATAGGGATAGAAAGTGATGGGTTAGAGGTGTAAAAATTTTTGTAACTCCTTTTGGAGAGGAGGGCTACTCTTAATTGAGAAGGCCTTCCAAATTTATAACTTTGTGTTACAATTAATAAAAAAAAAATTTCACCACTTTAAAATTTTCTTTTCTTCTCTTTGTTGGATGATGAAGATGAAGATGAAGATGAAGATTATTTTAAAGGTTTGTTTTTCTTATTTCTCTTTTATTGCTTATTAGTTTAGATTTATTTTCATGCTTGTAATTAGATTTTATTTTCTTGTTTAAATAGCCAAGAGGCTAGAACCCTCTTGGCTTAGATTTATTTTATTCTTATAGATTAGATTTATTTCATGCTTATAGAGTAGATTTATTTTCTTGCATTTAATTCTTGTAATTTATTTTATAGTTTAGATTTTGTAATTTATTTTATAGTTAGATTTTAATTTTTTGCACTATTCACCTTGAGGTTAGAACCCTCTTGGAATTAGTTTTTATTTTTGTTTATTTTTTATTTTCTTTGATTCGCCTTTAGGCTAGAACCCTCCAGGGAATTACCCTTTTCTAAGAAGTGGATTCAATTCTAGAGTACCCATATCTTTAATTGAATCCGTCATCTTTAATTTTTTAAATTTTTTTTATTCTCCTTTTTGATTCTTGATTTTATTCATCTCTCTTTGTGGAAATCATTCATTCATTGTCACATCCACTCTCACTTACATTTTGTGCCTATTTACACCCTATCACCTTCTTAATCTCTTCACAATCACATTCACTCATCACTCCTATTTGTCACATACACAACATAATTCACTCATCACTCCTATTTGTCACATACACAACATAAGAACCGATTTTATATTTTCTCCTACAAAACACATTCCTCGTACCGATTTTATATTTTCTCCTACAAAACACATTCCTCGTGGGATCGATATCTTTATACTATAACTTGACATAGTTGTGCACTTGTAACATTTTTTTGGTACATGTTTATGCCGCATCCACACAAAAAAATTTTCTTTTA